GATACAACCACTATTAATCTTTGTAATTTACTAACAGTTACTTCTTGATCACTACAAGTCCAATAAACCAATAAATCAATAATCGAAAAGATTACATTGGCCATCAATCTGATCTTATCTATATAATATGTCTATTAATATTAACTAGTACAACACAAAATAGAGCAACCTAAAAAGAAACCTCTAAAAAAATACTTACAACTATAAAAAGGTACTAATAACAAAAATAAGAAATCTATACATGATCTTCATTTCCAACAACACAAAATCAAAAATCATAAGTAAACTAGACTAATTAGCACATGTCTATGGTTCATATTTATAATCACAAAATTTGTGACAACAATAAAAAATTAAAAAAAATAAAATATAAAAAAGAAAAAAAAATCAAAAACATAATAATTTAATCATCAAATAGTATTGAATAAATGCCACTTTAATGCTCTAAATTATCTTTGTTTTATAAATTAAGAATACCACTGGCTTCTTTAGATATTTTTTATATAAAAATGACTCAAAAATAATTAAGTTTAGACTTTCTATACTCATGAAGTGGACTTCCAAACTTGGTAGTTAAGAATTATATATATTTTAAATCCAAAAATTAACCTTGTTATTATATTTTGATGTATTATAAATTAAATATATAGTAAAAGTTAAAAATATAAGTTCTATTATAGAAGAACCTAATTAAAAAATATAGTAGCAAAGCATAGATAAAAGATAGTAAAGTAGTTATAATTTTTAGTGTTACTTTTGGCTTTTTATAAAAAAATACTTTTATTTACTTTTTATAGTCATAAAAAATAAGATAAAATATATTAAAAATTTAAATAATATAGGTATATTAAAAAAAATTAAGAATAGTTTTTATGAAAAATTATCTTATAAAACCAAAAATGGGTACTTAGAGAAGATTGGATATAAACTAAGATCAAAATCACACTTCAAGGCAGAAAATTATGCATCTATAGCATATTTAGGGCATTTTTATTGATTAAAAAGTGAAATTAGAGAGTACACTTTAAGGAAGTTTTTTTTAGCATTGATGTCAAGTGATTTAGATAGATATTATCTTTTTGAGAGCTTTTCAAAGTAAAAGATGTTTTGAATAGTTTTAGATTTTAGAAAATAAAGTAGCTTATATATATAAGAAATTTGTGAATATTTTAATAGATGTTGTGAGTGAAAATTTGTGGATTCATAAATGTGATTATCTTAAATATATATTATAATTATATAATTAATTAAATAGTTAAATTAAAAGATATAGGAGTTTAATTGTATTAAGAACTTAGATATTTAAATTTTAGGATTAATGAGATATTTTTTATCTCAAAAAATTTGTTCATTTAATTGAAGAATTTTTTGTGAAAGTATAGCTATATATATATATATATATATATATATATATATATATATATATATATATATATATATATATATTTAAAATTTTATTAGAATTTTATTAGAATTTTATTAAAAAATTATTATAATTTTATTAAAAAATTATTATAATTTTATTAAAAAATTATTAGAATTTCATTAAAAAATTATAATATTTTTTTTAGAATTTATTTATAATTATAATAGAATTTGATTAAGATTTTTTGTTATTTATTTAATATTTTTTAGTAATGATTTATTTTCTATTTATGATTTATTTTTTATTTATAAAAAATATTTATTTAATATTTCTTAAGATTTAATTAAGATTTGATTTAAATAATCAATATTTAATTAGAATTTATTTAAGTTTCTATTAAAGTTATTAGAACCTTTGTTGTTGTATTTTCCAATTTTACATTCCACAATTAACTGTCTAATGCATTCTCAAGCAAGACAATATATTATACATTAGTATTATCTTGTATAACTATAAAACTTATATTATTGTGTGATTTGCAACCATTTTAGTTCTTTCATTGTATAAATTTTATAACTGCAATTTGTATCATTGCATGACTTTATATCCATGTTAGAGCTCTTTATAGCAAAAATCAAATGCTTGTTCTTAATTCCTTTGATTCAAGTCCTATCATTGTAGGTTGTTGTCAAGAGCTACAAAGTGATGTCACTCTTACCAATATATGTTGTAATTGGCTGCCATTTTGTAATTCACAAATTATACTTATAAATTATTTTAATTTTTAATTTTTAATTTTTTTTTAGTTTGAAAAAGAAACAACAAATGTAAATGCACCCCCACCAAATAATACCATACAAATTCATTGTATTGCACCACCTAAAGAACTTTGTATTAGAATTCTAGCAATGTACAATTCAAACAATAAAATAAAAATAAGATAATATGATAATCAATATTGTAATCTAATGCCTCTGTTGACTTATCATCTTAATTTAAAAATTGTGTTGTTCTATACTAACTTGTGATGTTGTATTGCAATGAATATCCAAGCCTTGTATTATATTGATTTTGCATCCTATATTACAATCCTATAAGGGCAATAGTATTGCAACTAATATTTCATTGCATATCTTAATATATCCAATAGTACAACCATCTTGCATTATATACTCTATCCTATTGCTTTATCCATTGTAGCTTAACTACTGCACATCTTCTAGCTTCAATGTCTTATCATTCTACCTTAATTGCTTTGCTTTGTCAATACAAGTTTGATTAATTTTCAAGAGTGGTATTTTGGCATATTAATATAATAATGCTCCAACAACATATCCTGACCATAGAACTATTGGCTACATAAAAGCATATTTATTAAATGTTACAATTAGACTTGCTCAAAAATATTGAAACTTGTGCCTACAAATGGTGAGTCTAATTAATGACAATAATGAATTTATTCTTAGCTATCTAGTGGCTATGCTACTTGTGCTATATCTTTACATATTAAGATAGACTTTGATGTTCAATCAATAATAATTAATAAGTAGCTTGGCTAAAAATTAAATTTAAATGTTGCAAATCTTGAGCCTTGTCCTTATATCATTATTACTTTACTAGGAAGTGCAAAGTAGACTATTGGCTATACTAAATAGCTATTGTAGTTGACTTTTTACAATGGATCTTAACCACTTTACTCACATTTGTTCTTTAAAATGTGTAGTGAGTAATAATACTAACTATGATATTTTATTTAATCAATATATACTTTATTCTTTGAATTTTGGTTTAAATAATTGGACTCTTATTGATACATGAATTAGATCAAGGTGGTCCAATAGTAAGAAGAAAAATGAATTTATTCATGTGACAATTGTAGCAATTGCCATGATTATATCAATAAAAATTTTATTTGATTGTAGTACATTAGCATCTAATTTACCTTGTGGACCAATTCTACTATACAAAATATTGACATATATGTCCAATTTTATCAAATAATATGATTCACCATACTTAGAGGTTCTTACAAGATATTATAAAGATCTATTTTATTCATAGAATACACTTATAAAACTATCTTAGCAATGCTAAAAGATTGTAATTGTATTGAAGTCTTTGGAGGTTTCAATTTATTTCTTATCATCTACCTTTGCTTGTTATATTTGTTGGCATTTACGAAATCAAGATATTATCCTTGTGGAATTCTTTGCAAGCATTTGTACCAATTTAGTAGCAATATTAGAAGCCAAGCTTAAGGTTAAGTAATACAATTATGTAAATACTAGAATAATATATAATCCAACAATCCAACATCATCTCCAAAGGTTATTAGCTTTATATCTTAAGTAATTACTTTATTTTTGCTATTAATCATTATTTAAGTTAATTTTCTTAAAATATCATCTTTATTAGTAATAAAGATTTGATAAGATTAGGTTCTATTAATTTATACATTGCTAAATGGCCTTGCAAAGGTCATTCACGTACTAAAGCATGTTAAGGTTTGAATGATCTTTAATCTTATTTATATGTAGATTTAATGTAGCTTATGCAATGATGGTTTATACATCAAACTATACTACTTAGGTACATTTTTTTAAAATGCATCTTTAGTAGATGATATTTAAACAAATGTTTTGAAGTATGGTTAATATATTTACCAATTCCTTGGTTCTCCAATCTTTCTTGATGTTGCAACATTAGACTCTTATGTCTATCAACCTCGTTAGATTTTGACCAACTTAGCTTTGTTACACATCCTTACAAAAGTATTTTTTTAGAGCCAAATGACTTGTTAAATGCAAGATTGATAATATTCTAAATCATTCTTACTTGAGAATATATTGAGCACCTAGGTGTGGAAGGTAAATAGAAAACTACAACAACAATGCTCTAACAAGTCTAATACAATCCTACATACACTCTACTTAAACCTTAACAATCATAATCAAATTTTAATTAAATCCAAAAGAAGTATGAAAGAAATTACTAAAAAAACTTAGAAAAATCATAAACTAATCTTTAAAAAAAAAAAAAAAAAAAAAAAAAAAAAAACCATTTACAATAATAAAAATATAAACCTTATGTAATCCTTATCAAATCCTAATGTAGCCCTAAACAAACTCTAAAAATATGAGGTTCTTTGAAAATGATATTATGAAATAGGCTAATGTATTCATTTTGACCATAATAGGTTGGAATTGAAATCATATCCTTACGTCATTAAAGCCAAGATCTGGAGGATAGAATCATGCAGATGGATTCTCCTCCTGACTCTCAACTGGTTAAACTGGTTAAAGACATGTGTTTCCTGTGACCAAATGATAGTCTGCAGAAAAACATTTCTTGAACCATCGACAAGAAAACTTCAAGTCTAAGATGTAAAAATATTAGCAGAGTTAAAAATAGTATTAAAAAACGAAAAAAGCTTCAGCAAATAGATTGTTTGTAGATATTCTACTGAACTTTTTAGGACAAGCTTTATTTAGTTGTGAGCAACCTCAGGATCCTGCACACAAGTCCTCATCAGAGTAGCATTGATCGTAGTAATTCACGGGGAGTTTCAGCAAATTAGATCGAACACAATGCAAGTTACATGACAATGAAAGCAAGCCCTCATCTGTCTGTGACGAAGAAGACAAACAAGTTGTATGGGGCACTTGAGCTTCACGTATATGGTAATAGTAATGTAAACACTGATGTAGTCTTGTCACAGTTTCATGTGACAAATATTATCACAACAAATTCATATATCTCTTGCTACGTTGTCAATCTACATGTCCAAGTGAAAACTGCGTTGGGTGAAAATAGTACCTACTGACCTAACTTCCAATATCTACACTACCCCATAGTTTATTGCAAGTTATGAGTAAAGCTAGAAATACAAGGTAGAAAAGTCGGGACAAAACTGCCTCATGCCCAAGGCGGTGTGAGAAGACCGCACTGGAACCTATTCATATAAATACAAACATGAGAAACTCATACGCAAGTTATAAATCAAACCACAGGGTACGACCAATCCCCTCCTCCCAGATCTCACCATCGGTGATCCGAGTGCATAGGAACGCCATGTCATTTTGAGTTCACACACATCCAAGTTGAACTTAAAAGAATCCGCTCAAGTATAGAAACTACAACAGCAACAGCCTTCATAAGTTATCAAGATGCATATTGGCAAGAGAGCTGTTGCACTTTCCATTGTGTTTGTCCTCCGGAAGCAAACTTGAAAGTACAAGCCACTTTGTTGCTGAACTTGTTCTTCAGCATCTGCCCCATCACATAAGCTCGTGTGAAAACCGTGCCGTCCAGTTTCAATTCCACACCTGCACCAGGTGTGGAATACCTATCGTTGAAACTTGGGCCCGCCCCATGAAGGAATTGCTTGTCAGAAGAAATGGCCACTGTCACTTTCTTCGTAGAGCTTTTCTCCAAATAAAATGAGTTGAGCTGTGCAGACAGCACACCCAACTTGTTAGACGACCTGAACTTAATATATTTTGCTTCACAGTAAAAACTGAAGAATTCTAGTCCACGTAAAAGTTGAACATCAAGCATCCTCGTCGAAGGAAGACATTAAGAAGTTGGGCATGTCGTTTTACCACGCCTCCGGCTATGGGTAGATCTAGGTACTTGAGACCCATTGGAGAATCTTTGACGTGATAACCAAAGAATCTCGAAGGGTTGTACATTTGCAATGTTGCTGTAGAATTAAGAGAGACCACCATTGTTTGTACTCCCGAATTGTCTACGCCATCATCTAAACCGAAGTACGAGAAACTTGCACTCTGCACAAATCCAAATTACAGATTTCAATGAGGGTGAACGAGATTGCCAAAGCCATTTTTGAAACATCCCACCAAGTGAGTTCTGATGCATAGAAATAACGCAACCCATACCACTATAAGATGCATGCAAAAGCAAGACTTACGCTTCAAAAAAAATTAGAAGATTCGACAATGAAGTGAGGAAGAGTACTAAAAGACGAGATTTTTTTTTTCAAAATAAAAGATAAAAAAAAAATAAAAAAATGAGGACATCAGTTCTATTCAAGCACTGCCACAAAAATAAATTGTGTTGAGCCACAGGCGAGACATTGTGTCGGCAGAACTCATTACAGCCTTTGTTTAAAACCAATGGCTAAAAGAAAACCCTGGTATACCAAGATTGTGTTAATCTCAGTAATATCCGCGGCTACTGCGATTGCCCAAAGCCTACAAGAAGAAAACTGGACTACCGACCGCCTTAAGTTTGTTCCCAAATTATGTAGGGGCTACAGCAAGTAAATGGTGAGGTCAACGTATGACTGCATAAACGATGGGAGTTCTGCATAATACGCGCTACTTCACTCAAAATAATGAAAAAGTTCTGGGTGGTACCACGAAAGAATACAGGACCGCAACTTCAGAAATGAAATACGCTGGAAAAAAGGAATTCACCATGGCGGAATCAAGCAGGGAAAACCTGGACTACAGTGGTTCGGGAAAAGACCAGAATTTGTCAATGGGGGACAAGCGAAGCACAAGAAACGTGATCAAGACAACGAGGCCGTTATTGCTGCGACAAAAACATCCAATGTTCATGGTACACTATAATTCAGAGCAGAGATAACGAAGGCTGAAATGTGAGACAATTAGCCGCATAGTACAAGAATGATAAAAACAAATAGGGGTTGAAGATGCTTCTCACAAACCTGGACAGTGACGTGGGGAGCCTTGGGCATGGTAAAAAGCCAGAAGAGAAGAGCGCCGGCGAAGAACATGAAGATGGTGAAAAAAATGGCGATCCAAACCAAGCAGACGCGCGAAAGTTTCTTCTTCTTTTCTCCTTCTGTGCCTTCCTCCTCTTCGAGGATAGTGCCATGTGCCCATGGTCGATAGCTCTTTTTCGGCTTTCCACCCCCGACGAAGTTAGGCTGCGGCAGCACCCGACGGGACCCAGGCTTGGGAGTGTGAGCGCTGAACGGTATCGAGTCCGTCGAAGCGTTCTTGAAGTGTTTGTGATGCATAGGGCTTGCTAATGGGCTTTCCCGTGGCGTTGCCCGTGAGAAGCTCTGCGAGAGCGAGTCCACATCCTGCACAGAATCGCGCGAAGGAGATTGCACGAAATAGACCGGATGCCCATGCCTGGGTGGTGACATTGGTGGCGAGTTCCCCAGGCTGGCATCGGAGTCAAATGACGCTCGCATTCTGCCATACCTCGACATGGCACTTATGCCACCCTCCCTCCCTCCCTCTCTCTCTCTCTCTCTTTTACTTCGAGTAAACCCAACTAAGTGATCTTAACCTACCGCAGATTTAGAAGCTACAATGCATTTCCGAGTCGGCTTGCAAGAGTGACAACTTCAGACGTCAAAGCTGTTTTATACAGAGACTTCAATGACGACTCGAAGTAACCCCTTAGGACTTCTCCCTTCTAACGAGCAGCTCTTTGGATTTTCTCTCACAGGCGCATCACTCTGCGCACAGCCACGAAATTCACCCGCATTCTCGTTTTCATGAGGATCACTCCGAATCAAAGGCAGCGCTCAGGTCCCAATTTCTCTTCAGCTGAGTCTACATAAACTCGCTTCCTGCGTGCTCAACGAGCATCAACTTTATCAGCAGAACCCAGCGGAATCCACGCATTGAATTGATTCTCTTAGACACAGCACCAAGTAAATTAAATAACAAACCCTCCCACTCTCAGCGCAGCGCAAGATGTGGAAACGCCCATAATCTACCTAGCTAAACAGCAGACACACAAGCCAATGCAGGTTATTAGCTCCCTTGTGCAACACGTACAGTACTTCGTGGCAAACGCTCAACATGGGCACTACCGCAGTCCAAAACCTCGCTGAGTGCGATACGACAAACACCATGAACCAAACAGGAGAAACCAACAAACAGTACCGGGGAGACCCTGCTTGCAAATACCAAACCCAACAGAACTCTCATTGAACCTCAGACTGACTCAAAATTACCATCACCAGCTCTTGTAAAACACCCATCACCTTTCAAACTCTCTCTATACCACTTCCTTTCAATCACTCACTCTGTCTCTCATATGAAGCTCCCACATACAGAAAACCCTGTGCAAATGAGCTTGCTTGCAGCACAACCCAAGTACCCAACCAGTCCAGCAAGTCCAACGACCATCAGAAGCTCAACCCCAGCTTTTGACGACTTACGATGATCGGCCCGGTTCGCACTTTGCTCAGGCGGCGACAGACACCGTTCCAAGTGAGCACCTGAAACGTCGGACAGTTGCCAGGCTTACTAATTGCTGCTGCTGATACTGCACCAGGAAGAGGAGGAGGAGGAGTAGGAGGCAGAGAGGCAACAACGGACGATGTGCAAACGGAGGTATATTGCTGCAGGAAAGCACAGCACAGCACTGCACTGCAGCCGCCTCCTCTGTGCTACGCACCCCATCTCCCCACGATCGTCGCCGATTTCCGTCGCTCTCTCGTTCCCCTATGTTTTTCGTTCGTCTGACAGCGAGGGCCGGGTGGAAGGCACCGAACGGGTCGACATTTTTGCAGTGCGGAATATCGAGGCCCGGTCGGGCTGCTGCGACCGGCCGACGGTTCGTGGTCTAGATCCGTCGAGGGGACATCTTCTATGCCAGCGTGGACTGGCGTGGCGCCCAACTTCCTTGATTAACCAGGCTCCTCGAAACTTCCTCACGGATTAGTGCAAGTAATTAAGCGCGATTAGGATTGTAATCTGATGGTACCTGAAAGGGCAATTGTTTATTTCCTTTACTCCACTCTATGATGCCCATCCACACAACCTCGGGCAGTGGCTGTGGCTACATGGTTGTTGAATCCCCAGTTGTGCACGGGTTGGGGGCAGTTGCTTCGCTGCTGCCCGGTCCTAAAGAATCTCTAATTGATACTTTGTTTTATTTGTGACGTGCTTTTTATGGTTAATATACGTGAGATGCTTGCAAAAAAATAATGGTTTTTTAATAACTATGACTATATATATATATATATATATATATAATCTCAAATGACGGAAATTTTATTTAAATATTTTTAGACTAATAGAACTTTGTTACCTCAAAAGACTTAACTATATATATATATATATATATATATATATATATGTAATGAAAAATAAATTATTCTAAAATTTAATATATTAATTTTTTTAAATGAGATTGAATGACACTCACACATTAATTAGAAAAAAACACACAGAATACAAATGGTAAACAGGATCACACTTTCAAATTAATAAGCCTAAGAATACCAAGGATTGATATATGTTTTTAATAGCTCATGTGAAAATAGTATTAATAAATACCATAGAACTTTTAAAAGTGAAAAATATGTAATTATAATTTCAAAAAATATACATAAGTTTGTATTTATATACATACATTTTTACACTTTTAAACAACACAAGGAGATATTATTTGTATCAGAACAAAAGTGCTAAAATTAATCATTATAAAAAAAATTGATGTCATTTTATAAATCATTTTTCAGGTAATTTAAATTCAGATGATTAAACATGTTGTAAATATTTTTTAAATAAAAATAAAATAAAGAGTCATTGTATTTGTATCTTATACATAAAATATTTGTATTATATATATTATTTTTATTATATATTAGTATAAAATAAAGTATTACATATATAATACAAATATGATTTATAGTATAAAATATAATATTATATAAATAATACAAATATAATATATAGTATAAAATATAGTATTACTTGTATCTATATGTATTGTATTTGAGCATTCAAGAATGAAAAAAAGTTGTAATTTAGTATCCTTTTCCATAAGTAATACTATATTTTTATTATACACAATAAATTTACTCTTCTTACTACCATCCATCATTTCTTATTCTATGTTTTTCTTTGTCTGTAAAACTCAAATGAGTAAAAATTAAATTTATTTCATTCCAGTTATTTCTTAGACTAGAAGTACAAGTATGAAAGGCAATGTAGCATGTATATGCTTATCTGAGTATATATATATATATATATATATATATATATATATATAGATACATATTTGATATTTGAATGTCTAAAAATTAATATTAATTATAGTACCAAATTCATCTTTTCTATAAACTCAAATCTTTAGAATCAATAAAACATTTTTAAATTCTTAAGATTAAATAAGTTTTATTTTTATTTGTACTTTCAAAAAACACTAACCAAAAAAAATTATTTGAGAAAAAATTATTAATATTAATATAGCATAAAGTGAAATATTTTTTTAAAAATAAATAAAAAATAATAATAATAAAGAAATTTATAAATAATTTTATTTTTTTGTTTAATAATTTAGAAATTTACACAAAACTAAAAATATATTTATTAAATATTTTCTTTTTATTTAAAATCTATAAAATATAAAAATAATTTAAAATTTTAAATATTATTTGAATCATATATATATATATATATATATATATATATATAGTATGTTATATATAGTATAAATAGGAATACATATAAAATTTTAAGATATTATATTTATTTTAAAAAAACTATTTCATCAATACTTAATCCTAGATGGTTTTTTATAATTTGCCAAACTATACCTGTTTATTAAGATTGAGATCAACAATTGTCTACAAGGGATTGCAAGCAATGGACAAGTATTGAATGGGCATCAAGTGAACAACATATAGACAATAGGTAGATATTAGATAATCAATGCATATATGGTACATAGGTCACAAACCTACTTTTATTTGTTTTTTTGTAGAGGGATGTCTCGAAACATTTATTTAGAAGAAAGGAATAGCAAGAACTAATTCCTGAAAATATACATACTTCTTTAATTTGATGTATTCTCTCTCTCTCTCTCTCTCTCTCTCTCTCTCTCGCTATATATATATATATATATATGTATGTATAATTTTGGGATTTAAAATAAAAAATAATTTATATTTAAAAAAATACTACATATAATATTTTTTTATTTCTTATTAATATTTAATTTTATAATATAAACCAAAAAATCATACATATCAAAGCTTAATTAATATTATGATAATAGTTCTTTGAAAAAAAATTATTTAGATTAGACATGATAAATGAAGAAATAATATTTCATTATATATTTTATTTCTACATGCAAAAAGAGATAATACTTTTGTAACGATATTTCATATATCTAAATTTTTTTTATACATTTAAGAGCATAGGTTTCAAGATTTTTTAATCTAACTTTATTTTTTTAGTTATGTATTGTTTGAAATTTGAAACTAAATCACAATCATTAAAAAACTAACTCAAATTAGAATTAACGTACTAAAATTCGAGTATATTTATAATTAGAAATTTATTAAACTAAATATTTGAGTTCCTAAAATCTTTAAAGATTGTATTTGTGATATCATATATGTCCACCAAATAGAGCATATATTGTCCTACAATGGCATTTTTCTCACTTCCCTTGCTAATAATGAAATGAAAAACATCCTTCTTTTCTCCCTTCTCTCCTCTTTCATTATGAAATTCCCATAAAAAAAATTATTGACAACAAACAAGAGTACCATATTTCATATGCATTAAATTAGAAAAAACAAATGGCATAGTTTTAATAATTTCAACATTGCCTTAAATCATGAAAAATAATTATACTAACTACATAAAAATTTAAAAAATATTCAGATTAATATCTTATTTTTAAAAATAACTTTTTACTACTATATTAGTCCTATAATTTTTTTTAGTATTATATTTTTATTATTTATATTTTTATGTATTTACATATTTATTTATAACTATTTATAACTATTTTATGAATTATTTCAATTAATTCCAAAAAGATCTTATATCTTATACTTATTAAAAAAACTCTATTTTTTATCAATTATTTTCTTTATTTATATTGATTTTTATCTTGTATGGCTTCTTAAACTATAAAAAATATTATAATAATGTTTTTTATATTCTAAAAAATTCTAAATTTAATGCAAAAGTAGCTCTTATTGTTGCAATATCTTTTAAAAATTCATATAGAATTATAATCTTCTTATTACTTATCAATACACAATTTTTTTAAAAAAATTATGAAAACTTTATTTTTGATTGCTCATTCATAACCAATTGTCAAGGATATGAACCTCAAATAACTAAAATATCAATACATTCTTGAGACACTCAAAAATACTCAAAATTACTCATAGATAATATAGTATTAAAGTAGAATGACTATTGCTAAAAACAAGAAGAATAGAAAGTTTTAAAAAAAGACTAAGGACTAGAAAGATATTAACAAGAGTGAAGAAGGCTTCATTTTAGCCTCCATTTATACTCTTAACTAGAAGCTACATAGCAATGTCTTCTTAGACCTCTTAAATGTGTAGACATTGCAAGACACATATTTTAACTTACAAGGCAAGTTTCTTATATGTGCACCACATAGTTAGTTTGTTCTACAAGCTATCAATACATTGTTAACTTATTGATCAAGTTTTTAACCTACTTATCAATTACAAATACATGTAAAGTCAAAGTAGTGTTTATGAACTTTTTAGAAAGCTTCTCTAGAATATATTTTGAAATAAATCTACTTTTATCTATTTCTATTTAATTATATAAATAAATATAAGAGTAAATATATATGTCTATAATAATATTACTCTATCAAGGACAAGAACTTCATGAAAGTAATTAAATAAGAGAAACTCTCTCAAAAAAATATGACAAAATAAAAATAGAAAAGTAGATATATTAAAAAGAAAATTGGAATGACTATTGCCAAAAGACAAGGAAACTAAAGACTTCTGAAACTAGACTAAAAATAAGAAAAGAATTGACAAGAGTGAAGAAGGCTTCACTCTTACCTATATATATACTATCTACCTAGGATCTATGTAGCATTATTCTATAGGACCTCCAAAACTGTGTTGACTTTGTATGACATGTATCTTAACTTACAAGGTAAGTTTTCTATATGGGTGCTACATAATTAGCTTGTTTCACAAGCTATCAATATATGTGGCATGTGGTTGGCTTATTAATCAAATTTCTAACCTATTTATCAACTACAAATACATGTAAAGTCAAAAAAATGTCTAAAAAGCTTTTAAAAAGCTTTTCTAAAAGGTATTATAAAATTAACTTATTTTTATCTATTTTTATTTATTCATATTACCTTGATAAAAATTATAATAAATATGAATCTGTGACATTATCTCTCCTTTTAAGGACACGTTCTTCAAGGAGAAATGATCACATTTTGAAGATGTTTAAGATCCAATAAATTATATTTGCTACATACTCTCATCTTTGTTTCCTTCAAAGATAGTTGATAGGTCCTTTCAACCATTGATAATATCCCATTCTAAGATAGAAAGACCACCATGTTATTTAATTATTATTAAAATCTTCATAACTTCCTTCAAA